GCCTACTCTCAGACAAATGAGGCCCACGATTAATCAGATTCAAACAGAAATATAAAACCAGTCCTAATTGAAAGAGAACAAGTTGACAAAAAGATTGAATCCAAGATTGGGTGAAAATATGGTATAATGAGTGACTTATAAGCTATTTTTTATAGGCCGGTCATTTTTGACCGGGAACACCACAAGTGTAACAAGGTAACAATACTCCCACAAAAAAAATAAGAAAATTTTCAAAAAAACACTGAGATTTAGTTATACTGTTTGGGAACAAAGTCACTAAGTTTCAGTCCAAAGCGACAACATTAACTAGTATTTTCGGGAAAAAGAAAATCTTCTCCGGGTCAAATTGACCCGAACACCACATGAGGGTTAAACTAGGCCTACATGAAACCATTATTGAGAAGTTACAAAAAAAAATTTATATTTAATAAATAGAAATATATATATATATATATATATATATTTGTTGTGGATGCAATGCTTTTGAACACTTTCCCTTTGGCATGCTGTGTTTTAATGTTTTAACTACAGAGATAATTGCTAATCACGATAATAGCAGATTGTCTGAGAAAATAGTTTCGTGCAAATAATGCACAACCATGTCTATCTGTTTCCATTAAAAATATAAATATAAACACGGTACATCTGTATTTCATATTTTCCTAACGTCTTGTACCTTAACCCCTTAAGTGTCACGGGCCCACCGGTGGGCCCAAATCCTTTACATTTTTAAAACAGTAATATCCTATACTAAACCTAAACTAATCTTGACAAACTATATATCATTTGAAAGCTTACAATCTCTAGTTTCCATATTTGGTGATTGATTTTCAAAATAAATTACAGAGGAGCCGTAATTTATCAATTTGCAACAATAATATTTTCATACTCTTAGACCTTTATTTTGAAATAGTGATGAACATGAAAAATCATGAAAGAAGGGTAGAAACCTCAGTTTGTTTTCATTCCAAGAGTTCAAAAGATAGCATCCATTCAATTATTTAAAAAAAAAGGTCTGAATATTTTTTTTTATATAAAGAAAAAAATTATATGATGTGGCAGGAAGCTAAAACGCACATGCGTGTTCTTTTTATGTTTCTTAGAGGTTGAAATCATATCAAAATTTGCCAAACTTCTCATATTACTTCTGAATAGGATGTCTACTTCATAAATTGTATGAAAATTGTGGAAATAATGGTTCATATCATTCAAAACACATATGGAAATGGAGGCGCCCTTATATGGGCAGTAATGGAGTCTGGTTGTCATCTAGTGAAAAAGTTTGGTACTGCGCCCAAACAAAATCTTACTGAAAGCTCATTTTTTGAGATATCAACCTAAAATTTGAAACACAACTTGTTCAGATTTTTGGCTTTGATTTTTTTTGCAGTTTTAGAGTCGCCCAGGTTTTGAAAATATATATTTTATATAAAATATGAATAATTAAATTTTTTACATTGTACATTTTCATAAACTCAAACTTCTATAACTTTTTTTCTATTTCACTTTCTTAATTTATTTCACTTCTACAAGAATCTGCCAAATGTCTTCTTTAAAACAAGACCAATCTTACGTCTATATTCCAAAGCATTCTTGAATTACAACCATTTAAGTTCGAAATGTGCATTTTCATGTATATTAAAAAAAAGGGGGGTGACACTTAAAGGGTTAACATGGTATCACGTGGATGAATAATCATATGTAAATGATATGCAGATGAGGATATGTATATTTAAACTAGGCGTTGTAAGCTCCATATATGGTTATTTTGGGGTGGAGACGCATGTGCGCACAATCTTCGGCTGACTGAGTTTTTAAGGGAATTCTGCGCAGGTTCTAGCGTACGAACGCTTTTATAAGTATGAATATTTTTTGGCGTACGCCATTTTTGGCTTTCGGGCGCACCTACACTTTTATAAGGATCCTACGCACAGTTTTATAAATGAGACCCCTGGGGCCTCATTTATAAAACTTTGCGTAGGATTTGCGTCAGAAGTGGCGTACGGATGAAACATAGGACGTGCGTACGCACAGAAATATTTGGATTTATAAAACCGTGCGCACGCACATCCTACGCATTTTTCCCTTAATAAATCACAATCAATTCTAAATGTAGCGCAGCTTTTGCGGCTTCATGCATGTCACGCCCATAGTTGCCCATAAATAGTCCGTGAAACGCCCATAAGTTAATATTCATCGATTGCGAAATCATGGCAAACATAGAGAGGAAATAAAAAAAAACCTAACTTCACTCAATGCGAAGTAGAAGTTATCGTTGGCGAGGTGGAAAAGAGGAGAAAAATGTTGTTTGGAGGGCACAGTGTGGGCATTACTAATGCCAAAAAGGCACTTGAGTGGCAAAAGGTTGCAGACGCCGTAAATGCTGTAGCCTCACAACCTCTGTGGCCGAAATAAAAAAGAAATGACAAGCTACAGATGTCGGTTATAATCTACTTGGAAATGGGAAATAGTTCAGCGCAAATGTAATTTCTTGCAGCTTTCTGAATGATCGAGACATAGGTCTACGTCACACGTTATTTTATCAAAAATAAAACAAACTAAAGGCATATGCATGAATACCATGATTCCGTAGCTGATGAAGACATTTTTACTATGAAAACAACTTTCCCCAGTGGACAAATAATACATCTATCTATCTATCTATCTATCTATCTATCTATCTATCTATCTATCTATCTATCTATCTATCTATCTATCTATCTATCTGACTATCTATCTAATTGAATCTATATCTGCTCCGCCTGATGGACACATTGGCGAGAATATCAGTTTTGTACATTATTTTGTTCTGTTTACCATCTTATTTATGAGGATGAATTATATAACAGCATGCCAATATTATTGCAGAACATATTTCACTTTTCTTTTGCAAATATGTGTTAATTTGCATTTCTGTTGCAGATCGATCAAACGGGTGTTCGTGTAGGCTCTTAATTGTAAGTCTTGCTTTGTGAAGTCTTCGTGTTATTTATGAGGCAGTATTGCCATTTATTTTACACAACGGTCTACAGTTTCACACACTTTCACTTGTTTCTTCCATCTGCCGACGGTGTCGCCATTTCTCATTTCACTCGTTTTAGTGCGTACGCCTGGGTCAGAGCTTGCGTGAAGGACCACACATTTTAGAATAGAATAGAATAGAATATACTTTATTGTCCCCTAGGGGAAATTTGTCATGGACTCAAGAGTGCATAGTGCATAGTAGTAGCTGCCCTTACAGACAATAAATACACGTTAAAAAACAAATAACAACTAAAGACGTACATATAAGCTACACACAAAAAAAAAAAAAAAAAAAAAAAAAAATTAAAACAAATTACAACAAGCAGACCACCAAGTTATTGCACACTTCCCAGGCCTCCGCATACAAGTCTATTTAAAATTTTGATTTAAAATTTTAATAGAGGTGGGTACGAAAGAGTATTTAAACCGGTTTAATTTTGTTTTGGGAATTCTATACCTTCTGCCAGAGGGCAAGAGCTCATATTCCGTTTGAAGGATGTGGGACGGGTCCAACAGTACTCTCCGCGCCTGCCTGAGTACAGACTGCTCATAGATGGACTGAAGGGAGTGCTTTTCAGTCCTCCCCATCACCTTCATAGCAGTCTGTACCAGGCGCTGTAACTTTGATTTGGACTGTGTGGAGAGATTGCCGAACCACGCCGTCATCCCATACCTGATGACACTCTCCATCACTGCCTGATAAAATAAATACATAATATTCTGGCTGACACCAAACACCCTCAGTCTGCGTAAAAAATACAGTCTTTGCTGTAGACGGGAACATACATACTCAACATGATCACTCCAGCTTAAGAGGTTATCCAGGTGGATACCCAGATACCTATAAGAAGTGACCTGTTTGATCTCCTCCCTGTGAATGGACAATGGGGTATGATCCCCCACCGACCGAGGGTCAAATACCATCTCCTCAGTTTTTTTAATGTTAATGGTGAGATAGTTCTTGTCGCACCACTGAACAAATGTATTAACCTCCGTGAAGTACAATGACAGGTCTGAGTTCTGGTGAAGCAGACTGAGAATGGCAGTGTCATCAGAAAATTTAAAAAACAGGTTGCCCGGGAGACTATTGGTGCAGTCGTTAGTGTAAAGGGTGAACAGGACCGGTGAGCTTACACATCCCTGCGGTGCACCCGTACTGATGCATTTTGATTCCGAAAGTGAATCATTAATCCTAACATTTTGGGTTCTATCTATTAAAAAAGAATAAAACCATTATCGTAACCAAGACATTTTTACTGTCAAGTTTGCTTTTTATAAATACCAATTATTGCGTAGAGAGCGGCGTACGCCTTCTTTTGTGCGTACGCAACGATTATAAATGAGGCCCCAGGTCATTGGTTCAGAATTAATTAATTTGTCTGTTACTTCTTTGTACAGTAGCTAGGTGTCACTAGTGAGCAATAATGAATGAAGCTTCGAGTAATATGAACCTTTTGGGTGAAGCAATGGATTGCGAAGCCTCTGTCAGGAAGTCTCATTTTCCCATCACTACTTCAAATGCGACCTTCGAAAGGTGCAGTCTTCACATTGGGACACAGCTAATGAGTGAAGGGATGTGTGGGTTTCCATGTGGTGCTGCTGCTGATGAGCGGGTGCAGGTGTGGTGAGTCAGTGCTCTGGTGATAACGAGTGGATGGGCGGAGTCGGGTGATCGGGCGCTGATGGTGTGGCAGGTGTTACTGATGACTCCGTGACAGTAATTGCCTGATATTATGTGTATAAATATGACCCATCTTCATTCAATAATAATGTTATTGTGTTACAGGCTCTGGCTCTTCACAAAATCTTCCCCTGAGACTCTGAAGGCAATCATTAAAAAACCCAAAGTGAGTTCTGAATAAATGTTCTACCTGAAGTATTTTTGAGCGTTGTCTTTAAATGCATTGAGAATCGCAGTGTGCAGCATATGAGTGCATGCAGACATTTAACTTTTCCTGCTTATTAAATTCAAGTTCATCATGGCAATGCTGAAAATCTGTCTGCTGCTTTTCATCGTCTTCTCCATTGGGAATACAGAAGGTAACCAAGACATTTTTTTGTAAAAAAAACAAACAAACAAAAAACTTAGCCTAAACATTTTGGAAATGTACAATATTCCATTGATTAGTATTTGCATGATTAATAAGGGGTTTACTATTTTTAGAACATGATCACACACTCTAAACTTTTACTATGATTTACTCAATTTTTTTGGTGAAACATTTTTACACTTAAAATATTGATTTAATTTGAAAGCAGTGAAATAAATTAGCTACATTCACTATGAACTGAGTAAATGTAAGTTAAAAAAAAGTAGATCTGAGTAACTGCATTTGGTACATTAACAAATAAAATTTGAGTAGTAATAATTAGGGAACATTTAAAAACAATGTATATAAGTAACTTTTTCATTTCATTTTAAACCTTTGTAAAAAAAAATATGCCATACATACAACCACCATTGACCTTTATTGTCGATGAACACAGCAGATTTTATACGGTTTTAAAATAAACAATATTGCCCACATATAAACTCCATGTAGCAAACATTTTAGAAATGTAAAAATTTAACATTTAAACATTCAAGTAATTCTCTCGCTTACCTCTCTGCCGTCCTCCGCGCGATTTGAACATAACATCTGTCTCGCATGCACGCTCGCTCTAGATTTGCGGTAACTAGTCGATCACGAGTGGCTCAACAGGTAGATCTATAGATAAACTCATCTTTCAGGCATTTGGGTTGACACTTCAGTGTGAGAAATCGGGGGTGTGGCGTGAGAATTGGGTCAATTGCGTGAGTCTCACAATGCGTGCAGAGTTGGCAGCCCTGCTTTAGACCGCCATCACGTTTTACTCAGAGCCGAAAGATGTTGCGACGAGACTCCAAAACCTGCTAATAAACAAACAGTGCACAGTTCTGAGAACATTTTTATCATTCAAATTAGTTGTATTCATTATCTTTAGGAATGTCTTGTTAGGCGTTAAAATAACGCGAAAAGACAGTCGCGACACACTTAGGTGAGTCACATCATGTGTTATTTTGCTTTAAATATAATTATTTAAACCACAGTAGAGATAAAACGTGCACAAACCTGAATTTCACAGAGGAAATACACCAATTCTGCGACTCGGAGAAAAGAGAACTTGAGAGTTCAAACAGCCCACGCTCACTCAACCGTTGAGTCGTCGTCACATCAGATGATGGGGGAGGGGCGCATTGTTTTAATTGAGGAAACTTACTCTATTTCTTATGCGTGTTAAATATGAATACTATGGTTTTGAATAAAGTAATATTTGTGGTTCTTGAAACAGATCAGTTTAATTATCCATTCTCGAAATATTTTGATGGAAATTTCACAAATAAAGTATATTTTAAGTAATTGGTTAATCAAATACTAAATTATTTTAGTGAAACAAAACTTAAATATAACTGAATTTGACAATTAACTGTTGGATTTTTAGTCTATTTTTGTATGTTCAACTCAATCTATCAAGTAAATGATGTTCAGAGACTTTATTAAGTTAACTAAGTTAATTAATACTGTTATTTACTAAGCCTTTTTTTTTTTTTTTTTAGAGTGCAGAAACACAAATGCCAGAAGATGCCCTGCTAGATGGAGGAAATTTGGTCTCCAATGCTACAAGTACTTTTCTGGTCCGGCTAACTGGATCACTGCAGAGGTAATGTTACAACAAGATGATTTGGTCACACTTTATATTAGGTGTTTTTTACTACATCTAAAAGACAGATGCAAATATATGTATGTACACAATAAGTGCATTGTCAAATGATTCATTTGAATTGATAAAATGATTAAGTAAATACTACAGAAAGAAACTAATGTAATTTCTACAAAGAAAAGTTAGTTCAGGCAAGAATTTAAGAATCAAAGTAATTTATATATTATAATTAAATTCAAGCGTGTAGAAATTAAACAGTAAACGATATAAAATTAAGTAAAACCTACTTCACTTTTACTATACTGGTGTTCCCATCATGCACTGGGGCATGAATAAGTACCTTTTTTTTTAAATTGTTTTCCAGCTGTATTTACACCATTTTTTTCATTGCTTTTATTGTTCGGTTTAGTAACTTGCCATTTTCTACTCCAATCAAAAAAATCAAAAAGGTCTATGGAATGTTAGTCATTGTGTGTTGTGTACGAAGTATTGAGGTGTTCAGGTGCCACGTAACTTCCATATGAAGTGTGTGCTATATTCAATATCTATTTATTTATTTGGATCTTTAGAAGTAAAGCATACACTTAAAACGTGGTGTTTAATTCAGTGATAGTCTTAGGAAAAAGTTAATCAAGTAGATTACTAATTACTTCATTCTATATGTGAAGTTAAATATTAAAGTAACATATACTTTTAGTTCAATTAAATGTCAAACTAATGTAATGTGTAAAACACAACGTACATCACTTCGATGTAGAACGGTCAAATGTTAAGATGATAACATTTATTTGAAGTCCCTGTAATCCAGATGGTTCTTGATTGCCTGCTGTCGCTCCCGTGCTATAGGTGATAACTGTGACTCTGTGCATATTACTGGGATTGGAATGAATTGTTTCTATGATAAGCTCTTTTAGTGAAGGAACATGTATATATTAGGAGTGGAAGTTGGATCGGAGCAGACAATAATTTAATACACTAAGTCCAATAGTAATTCAATTTTAATTGATGATAATCGGTAAATCATACAAGTCGTTTTTTTTTGTTTTTTTTTGATAAAGACACTTAATATAAAGTGGGAATGTTATTTTGTATAGTACAACTTTCTTTTCTGCAAATAAATAGTGCAGAAAACTGATACTGAGCTTTGTTTGCAAATGTCTAATGTTGTCACTTTTGCTTTTTTTTTAAAAAAATCTTTCTCTTTAGGAAAACTGTCTAAGTCTTGGTGCGAATCTCGCATCTGTGCGTAATAACCAGGAAAATAAATTCCTGCTGAGTCTGTTGCCTTGTTCCACACGTTCTTGGATTGGTGCTCATGATGCTGTACAAGTAAGTTCAATTGTGTGTCCTAAAGACACCCATTTGTCTAAACTAACATTTCTGCTTTAAACAGTAAAGGCAAAGTTTCTAATGAAGATGTTTTGACTTCAAATCTGAACTTAATTCGCTTCTTCCTAAAGTCTGACAACAGTAGTGCACTCTTTTATTCCCACTCTTCAGGAAGGACACTGGTTGTGGAGTGATGGATCTGTGTTTTCGTATACCAACTGGTGCTCTGGACAACCTAGCAATTACCAGGGTGCTGAGAACTGTTTGGAGATCAACTATTCCTGTAAGGATACAGCCTTTTTGTATTAATACTTTCAGTTATAATCCAATTTAACATACAGTAAAATGAAATGAGTCATTTGGATTTCACAAAGTGCCTTAAGTTGAACAATCTCTTATTTTGATTCTAATAAAACCAATGATCAGAATAACTGATTTGATTATTCCACCTTACAGCCAACCGTTGCTGGAACGATGCGTCCTGTTCAGACTCGATGCCCTATATCTGTGTTAAGAGCCTGTGAGACCGTCATCCTGCTCCAGTTACTTTGATTCAACTACATTTTTCCAATATTACACATGTTATTCTGAAATCAAATCTCTTCTAAACTTTAATCTCTTTTCAATACTTTTACTGAAATGCTCATTAATAAAAGCACTGGAAAACTAAATTGTGTAGTGTCAAATTCATGTATGTTAAAAGGAGGATATGGTTATTAGAATTGCATTAAATTATGTTATCAGGGCGGGGTCACCAATATCACTTGTTATCATCAAGTGAAATCTACTTTTGGACTTAAATTAGTTTGACATTTAATTGAAGTAAATATTACTTAATATGGTTTCACAGAAAAAGTAGATTACTAATTACTTCTATATAAGACAACACTGAATTAAACATCACATTTTAAGTGTATGCTTTACTTCTAAACATCCAAATAAGTAGAATAGATATTGAATGTAGCACACACTTTATCTATATAATAGAAGTAACATGGCACCTGAACACCTCAATACTTGGTACACAATACACAGTGACTTTAACATTCGATAGATCGTTTGAGTGATTGTCTCATTTTGAGTAGAAAATTAATCCAGGTGTCACAAAATGGCAAGTAACTAAACCTAACAGCAGAAGTGGTGATAAACCAGTGTAAATACAGCTGGAAAACAGTATTAAAAAAAGATATGTAATTATTCATGGCCAGGGGGCATGATGGGAATACCAGTATAATACAATTTGAGTAGGTTTTACTTAATTTTATATTGTTGACATTTATGGTGTAATTTCTACATGGTCTTGCCACTGCTATGCTGTAATCAAGATTATTTAAATGATTGTGAAATAATGATTGTTTCAACACCATCAGATCACCTTTATTTGTTCATATGGCTGTTATAACTCAGATACAGCAGCCAAACAAAATCTAAAGTTAATGATGTGAGGGTCAAGAGCCCAACTATAACAAACACTGAGCACCATAATGGTGACCTACAATTCCCGGTTTTCTCCTTCAGTGATTCTGCTTGGTAACATCTGGTGTCTTCAATAATGCTCAATCATCACTCACTTATTCACTTAATTATCTCATTAACTTTAACACTGCTTCAGTGTTCGTTTAACACTCAGTTCAGAGTTTAATTGGGTCGCTTAAAATTACTAAATTCCATTGTTGAAGTTACATTAACAAATTATGTTTGTTTAACGTAACCCAGTTATGTGGAACCTGTTTACATAAAAAAAGTTAGTCAACATATAATTTTTTTGAGTGTACATATTGTTGTTACAAAATATAGTTACATAATTCCTGTTACACATGTGTACTTACTGAAGTGAAAAGGTGTTGTTACCAATGTCCACACATTTGTACTTACACATACCATTCCGGGGGTTGTTACATATGTGTAGTTACACAAATACTACAGCTGTAGATACTATGTACCAATGTATACTTACACAAGTTAAATGCTATGTATGTAGTTACCATGTTTACATTTATACGGGCTACTTAATATAAAGTGGGACCCAATAGGATATTAATTCAGACTGAATGATTCTGCTAAGTTTGTCTGTACCAACTACTGCAATGATGCATGCAGATTATTACATAATAGCTTGATTATTTTAATTATTGAATTAAATAGAAATACACTGAACACAATTCAATAATAAAAACACAAGCAACAAAATGCCACAGGAAATCTTTTTATTATAGACATACATTTTAGTTTTTCCTCATGAATAAATATGATAATTTTTCATTTATACATCAAAAAAGCTCAAAATCAAGTATTTTATAAACTTAAATATTTTATACAGTATATTTGCTTCAGTAATGTTGTAGCTGCACACTGATCCTGCTGGGATCCTCTCAGATCACACAATCTGTGTGTAATCTTTCTGTAAGAAGAGAGAGAGAAATGAACAGTGCTGTTTAGAGTTACAGAAACATAAAGACACAATGATACAAAATATCAGACACAATCAGCACATCTGTCATCTACAGTTTAGGTCAGTACAGTATCACAGTCTGAGTGAGTGTGTGCGTGTGTGTGTGTGTATAGTGTATTTACTAGTTGCCAGATCAAAAAAAAAATAGTATCACAATTCAGATAACACTTCAAAGCTGTTGTATGGTTGTTTTTACATTTCAATTACAATTTTTCAAGAAAAAACATCAAGAAAAGAAAACACACTGTATTGTTTAAACAAGACCGCATATTTGTTCTAGATTTGTGAAATTACTGAGGGGAAAAATACTCTGAACCCCAAGTGAATTTACACAAACTGAGAAAGTCAGTGTAAGGTTGTTGCCCGCTCTCCCCTAGTTGCAAAACACATCTACTTTTAAACATTTCTAACCAACAAAACATATGTAAACGTCATATGAATTCTATGACAAAAATCTGTCATCTACACAACAAAAAAAATCATTTTGTTTATACTTTAACTGATATCTCCCGCCATCTAGATTTAAATTGAATCGCCAGCACTCGCCACCCTGGTCACATGACCATAAACGCTAAAATGACTTCCATGGCCATCACATGTTCCCTTCACTAACAGACTTGTGGAAGGCCCCTTCGTGAAGAGATTCAGTTGTTCACTTTCATTTGGAAAACCCCAACAAGTGGCGCCCCTTCAACAGAATTCTAGTTATGACGTCATTTTCAGCAAATATCTGACTGTGGAATGTCCCGACTGACCAATCAGAATGAAGTATTCCGGAGAGCCAGATAATACTTTTGCATAAAATGTTTCCCTATAGTATCTGTAGGTGATGCTTACCCTTTCTAGTGCTCCTGTGGCGAAGGTACATCATCACACCAACAGCTGAAGCTACACACACCAGCAGAACAGCAACAGCTATTCCTGCTACAACAGCAGAAGACGGACCTGAACCTGGAACTGATACAGAGAAACAGATATAAGTGTGAATGAATATTCATTAGATATATTATCTCTATTGACAATGTACTGTATGTCCAAATTGGAGGTGCGGAAGGCTAATTCCTCTAAGGTGAAATAATCCTCAACAGTTTATGACATTTGGGTATATTACCACATCATTTTTCCAAAGAAGAATTAGAGCTTAACTTCCCCTGTTTACAACTGAACTATCTGTGCTTCAAATCTACGCATATTAGAGATCTATAACCTATGAGGTTGGCCTCCAGAAATGCAGAGAGACGTCGAGAGACACTTCTGTGACCTCAGCATTTTCCCTCGAACATCTCTCATCATGAATTTTAAATCTGTTTCTGTTTACTTTTCCAGTAGTATGTAATCATAGTTTGTTGAATGAAACTTTTGGAGGGAGCATGTTATTGGCTGCCCAAGGCTACAGCGTTATTTTATCGGACATCTTTATTATTCAATTATAAATAGCAAGTGTTTAGGATAAAGTTTGACAAACATTATTTATATATATATATATATATATTTTTTTTAATTAATATTTTGTGTTTAAAGGAACAACATCAGAATCATTTAGGTGAATAATAAAGTGAAGTTCCCCATAAGAACAGTGCATTTATTAAATAAACTGTAATACATGTTATGCTAATATATTTTTTCAAAAGTAGAGTAGAAGACATACTCAAGTCAGCCGCATGCTTCTCCATATACGGTTCTTCATTGGTTTCATCTTGATCAGACAGAGAAGCTGGAAAAAACAAACCAATAAAAATAAAGAAATTCCAAAGAACACAATAATTGATGTTTTGATATAATCTTTTGATTCAATATTACAAAGATACATGGATGCAGGATTGTACATAGGATCACAGGATTTCAGTATTGCATATTTAATTATTCAAAAAGTATTTCTCCTGAAAATGACTAAGCAGAGTGATCAGGAATGCAGTTTATTCAATTTACAGCATACCAATGAAGTTCAATGTGGTTTGAACTTTCTATTATAGAACGTTTCTATTATATTAGAAAAACAATTTCATTAAATAATATTTAATTCCTTTAACAACAACAACAACAGCAACAACAATTATTCAGGGTAAATAACATTGAGTGACTCACCGCTGATGATCACGCTGTATGTTTTTATGGTGTCATCATGAGAGCTGCTGATCTTTCTGGTGATTTTTGTGCTGTCACACTTGCGGTTTCTGTTCAAGCTTTGCCTTTTTCCTGAACTTTCGCTTCTTATCAGCTCTGCTTCATAACGTCCAACATGTTCAGATCTGATGTTAGTGATGTTCAGAGATCCGGTCTCATAGTCCACCTCCAGTCTGTCTCTGAATCTCCCGTCTTCTCCATCATATAAACAGCTCGTATTGGGATGTCCGTTGATCAGAGCTATGCGAGTGTCGTCAAAATACCACAGTATCTTGTCATGTTGTTTTTTAGTAATATTAGTGTTTAGAGTTACAGAATCTCCCTCCATCACTGACAATGTCATCACTGCATCGCCAAACACACCTGAGGACACAAATAAACAATTACGTGTGTGTGTGTACAGATTTCACATACATAGACTAGGCCTAACGATAGCCTGCCCTGAAATCAGATATTGTAGCGACCAGCTAACCGTTCCCATGAGGAAAACAGATAAATAAACATAACAAATAATTCATATATAAATGCAAAAGGTTAAGATTGAAGGTAGGGTTAGGGCTATGGGACAAAAAATATCATTAGCTTTGATTAAAAACAACAGAATGAAAGTCTCCACTACAGCCCTATTCAGACAGGACTAGTTTAACATGGAGAGGTGGATTTAACATTACCATATTGGTTGTATTTTGTGAATAGAATATTACCAGAGAGTTTAGAAGAAGCAAGGATCTACTGTACTGAAATCATAGCCAGCTAACGTTAGCTAGGCTGTTTACTGCACCGGCCGGTGTTCACCCGGCTATGAACTGAGACTTGATAAGTCATATTCCATAACAACGACTTAGATTACAACTGCTATTGTAGAAATAAAACAAATTTTACTGGTATAACATTGGCATGTGAATTTTACACAAGTGCCACAGACTGTATTATCAGTTTTGGGCAGTCACTACTTGTAGCTTAGCTATACTAACTTAGTATTTTGGTGGTAGCTTGGTGGTAGCTTCACTATTTTGTGTGTGTTTGTGTGTGTGTGTGTGTGTGTGATAGAGAGATACAAATATAAAAAGCTTCAAGTAGACTAATCTATAATATAATCATTGTTTCTTCAACTTATTCAATTATCTGACTTTACTGCCACTATCTCTTTCTGCTTCTCTATCATATAGTGTGTGATTTGCAAAATACCTATCATAGCCTACATCACATATCATAGGGTTTCAGGGGACATCCCTGGTTTTTGGTTGCCTATCCCTGGCTAATAAAAAAAAAAAAAAAAAAAAAAACTGTCCCCGTTTTGCACAACATTAGGTTTTTCAGTCAGATTGATAGTCAAAATGTCCCAATCCCCCCAGGGAATTATTATATCATATCATATAACAGAATTATATTACTGTTCTTGACAGAGAATATATATATATATATATATATGCTTCCACTTGTGCTGATAGGGTAGACATGTAATTGTTTGGTGACGAGTTGATTGGAATGCTTTTAAACCTTGTTTAGAAAACATCATATAAACGCCGTTTAAAAATGTACAACAAGGAACATTGTGTGGTGGCACCTTATATTCCGAAACTATACACAATTATTTAAACAGCAACCAATACAACAATATGTGATGTTAGAATATGATGTTAAATTAAACTAAAATAACCATACAATCAAAAACGTCTTACCATCAAACAGCAAAAACAGAGTAAGCAGAAAACAGCGTCCTATTCTTTCATCAGCTGTGTTTGATTTAAATAGCCAGTGTTGCTCCATCGATGTCTTGAATTTATTCCTATGGTTATCCAGATGAAATATAAATAATGTCTAATGCCTTAGCCGGGCAAATAAAAAAAGCGTATGCCTTCACGTTTTGGTTGCGATGCGAATGAGTGTTACTAAAATGAAACCGAAAGTATGTTAACATCTTGGTAAACCCCCAAATTCCTAACTGTGCGTTCACACCGCCGGCGGCGAGAGCGTCAAAGTGGCCGGAAGTCATTCATTTTCAATGAGAGCCGGCGAGGGCGGCGCGGCGCGTCTTGGACCAGGGGCGATTCTAGGATTTTTTCAACTGGGGGGCACAAGAGGGGCCACAATTATTACAGAGGGGCCATTCTTATGTTGTGTATTTATGTAGAACTGTAGATATCCAAATCATTTCAAGTTCAGTAAGCTTTAAAATCAGCAATAAACAGTGATACCCTATTATCTTTTAATAGCAGTTATTCACTGCTCAAAATCAAAACAATAAAATACAATTTATATTAACTTTTCACTTTACAAAAGTGAAAGAAAAACTGTAATAAATAAAATAATCCAATGTATTAGTGTACAACTCACAAATAATAATAGAACAGCCTTATTTATATAAATGCATAATTATATTAATCATTCATATAATAAATACACAATTAATGAATTCATATAACTGTAATAAAATTGAATATAATAAATCTTTTTTAAATCCTTGATTATGCAGCGATGGAATATGCAGGATATTTATGCAATTGTATGTGATGAAATTGCGGGAACTTGCAAAACCTGTGGTTTGATGAAAAAGAGAGAAAACGTGATTCCCTAACACCCTGCTCTCACTAGGCTACTATCTTAATGTAAAGAGTAATTTCTTATTACTTCCTATGATAAGCAAGCATACTACATCACAGAAAGTGCTGGAATATTTAATCTTGTTTTATTTCAGACCTTAATAAACACATGGCTCAAACTTACAAAACATTGATGAGTCAAACAAGTTCTGTAGCTTTACAAAAGGAATATGCTACAACTTCTGTAAAAATGAATAAATAAAATATGAAAAAATGTTTCCTGTTTTACAGCTTTTCAATGATGTTCACGTCGCGTAATTACGTCACTTCATAACGTTCCCATGGCAACAGGGGGAAATGGCTGCTCTTGTGTGAAGTAAACGCAGCATTTTTCAACTTTCTGCTAAGATATATGTGACTTTCTTTTTTGCAACAAAAATGCGGGGATTATGAAATCATACAAGCCCCGCATATTTTGCGTGGAAATCGGCAATTTATACGGCAAAAGTGCGGCGTATTTGAAAAAATGCCCCCGCATAAATATGCAGACTTTGGCTGATTATGCATTGAATCATGCGATCGCATAATCACGTTTTTCTGGAGGGACTGAAAGGTGATAATAATAAATTCTAGATGGAATAGCAATTGGCATTTTACAGCACCCTAGTGCCAATTTTGGGAACATGCCATGATAGCTTACAGCAACCTATTTTTGTGAAATCACACTCGAAATAAAAAAATATTGCAGGACTTGGAACTTTCAGACAACAACTGTGGACATCTATACTTTATTTTTATGAAATAAAGATATTTTATGATATTTACAATATTTCAGTTAAACTACACTTGAACAATAACTTTTATCTTAACGTTACTTCTTAACAGTTGGACAAAAAAAAGTGTTCAATGAGTAGCCTATACATATTACATCTAGCCTACAGTAATTTTATACAACAGACATTTTATAAAAAATATATCAATAAAACCTAAATCAATGTATTCGGTATTGGACATCAATTTAACATTGACATTAGATGTTGAATTTACATTGAATTTTGGTCACCCGACGTCGCAACTAAAATTTAACCAAATATCAACGTCTTATGACGTTGTGTGCCTGCTGGGAATAATCTGTTATGTCTCATTTAACAGACGCTTTTATCCAAAGCAACAAGTAGGAGAGCCTTTAACACACACTCGGCACAATCCGGCGCGACGAGGTCCATACGGGTTCTGTTGTCTTACACGTCTTACTGCGTTACACAGTAGGTTAAATCATAACAAGGAAACTTTACGTGTGATTCATGTCATCGCGACATACTGTAACACATTATACTTACAGTGTGTGTCAAAAAAATGATGTAATCGTCCTCTGCTTTTTTTCTGGGGATGTGCATGCATGGAATCATTAGACGGCCAAACTGCAACTAAAACGGACACGAAAATTCGCAAGAGCAACAAGAGATTTGAAGCTCATGGCAGACGCGCCCAATAGATGCTTCGCGCTGTGATTGGCTGAATGTTAGTTCACTCAAGTCTAAGTAACAAATCAGAGAACACGGGCGGAAATATTGGCGCTGGGTCAAAAAAAAATGAAAAAGAAATAGAAAAAACTCTAGCTCGCTATTCTTGGTCCTCGTTGAGAAGCATCGCGACGCGGAATCATTAATTATTCTACTACAAACTGAAAGATTATGATTTGAATTTTTGAGTGACAGACAAGTAGAAGGGTGGGGGCACACTGGGCGGCCATTTAGTTTTCAGGAGGGGCCAGTGCCCCCATGGCCCCTCCCCTGTCTACGCCACTGTCTTGGACGGTGAGAGCGGCGAGGAGCGGCGAGAAGAAGTTGAAATCAGCTCAACTTTGGGGAAATGAGCTATGACGCGGTTCGGCGGCAACCGGCGGCAACCAATCGGAATGTAGATGTGCTCCGTTTGAGAGGATTCCAGAGAACGCAGCCAAGTAACAAAGGTTCCGACCACATTAGTTCCCAAGCAAAATAGAGGAGAGGTTGATCATTTGAATTTCATAAGAAGGCGCGCAACACTATTTATAGGCAAGATATTCGTGCTAGAACGCTTGTTTTTCAGCGGGAATGCAAATTAGAATAGCATTTAACCATGAACACAAAAGCCACACCAAACAAATGGCTTTTAATTTGTTTATTTCGTTAGCAAACATGTCACTATAATTGTTAAGTTCTTTCCATCGATCAATTTTCTGCAAACATAACGATCGACATGCTTGTTTGCTTCGCGGCCCCTTTAAATAAAGTTTTAAAAAATATCAAGCATTCGATCTACGTCAGAGCATCAGAGCGTCCACGAATCTTTCCACGGCGTCGCTGACAGGGCGGCGAGAGCGAATTTTGCCGCTCTCGCCGGCGGCGGTGTGAACGTACGGTAAGGATGGCTGGCGCGAAACAGACGTTCCGAAGCTTTGCGAGATCCCGAAGCAAAGAGGATTCGAAACACTTCTTATTCTTCTTCTTCTCTGTCGTTTTACGGCGGTTGGCATCCAACATTAATGGTGCATTACCGCCACCTACTATACTGGAGTGTGGACCGGAGATAAAATAAATACATAAACCATCAAACTAAAAATAACTTTTAATTATTTTCCTCTTTTCTTTTTCCTTCCTAAAAAAAAAAAAAATAATAATAAAAAAAAAAATAATAATAATTAATCATCCTAAATCCTTTCTGCCAGTCTTGTTTCTTTTAAGAATTGAAATACCAATGCACTCACACCATTTACCGATTTCCCCAGCAATTCCCTTAGTGAATTCCCTTGCCCCCCTAACCTTCTTATACCCTCTTTCATCTTTCCCTCTCATATTTCTGACACAAATCACATGCTCCACAGTTTCAATATTTTCACAAAATTCACACCTACCCGATACGTGCTTACCTACAATATGTAAATACTTATTTAACCCACAATGTCCTATTCTTAATCTCGTGAAGATAATTTCTTCCCTTCGCTTCCTTCCAGTGACCCTCTCTGTCCCAACCTTTTGTTGAATGTTATATAAATGTCTTCCTTTCTCCTCCGCATCCCAGTGTGCCTGCCACTTTTTAATAATTTTTGACCAGATTTGTGCTTTCGCTTCTGCTTTACTTATTGTAATTACTATTTCAACCTCTTCTTGTTAGATTCGAAACACTGATCCGAAGCGTGATTCAAAACACCAACGTCACGTGACAACGGCTAAATGAAGCGTCTAATGGCGCTTTTACAAAGTCAGAATTGAATTGTGAGATATAAACTATTCTGGGGTAAAATAAAAAATAAAAAAAGCAATTGCGACTTTATTTCACGCAATTCTGACTTTATAACACGCAATCGCGGCTTTATTTCACGCAATCCTGAGTAATAAAGTCAGAATTGTGAGATGTAAACTCGCAATTATCTTTTAAAATGTTTTATTCTATGGCGGAAACAAGCTTCCATAGTATACTATAGCCTATCCTGTCCTATTTAAGTAGCCTAATTAAATTAATATAAAGGGGCGATTTGCCCACTAATGGCTTAAATGAACAACTAGGGGAAAAAAATAGTCGGAGGCCTTATTCCACATATCTTGGAAGTTCGAGCCAGCAGGCCATTCTGGGTTGAGCGCGCGACCCTGCGGAAAGAGTGAGCAGAGCGGAATATTCAGAAATGCGCTCTCTGCTCACATGCTCTGATCGGAACAAACCCGAACACTGTCTGCTGAACTTGCGCAGAAACATCAAAATAGACATAACCAGCTTTTTAAAATTGTTTTTAAAACTAAACATTTAGACTATTTTAGCACAAACGATGTGCTTAATGGCGATTTTTTTTTATAATTATTGACAAAACATTTTTGAAGAAAAGTAACACCAGGCACCCATAACGCCGTGCCTGGTGCAGACATTCCTTTGTTTGGTTGCCGAAGAGAGGATCCAGCGAGAGCTTGATGGGGCAACGAGGAACGAAATGCGTCGCTATGACGACCGGGTACTATTTGTGGCGGTACTTTCTGCAATGGAAAACGGAGTGAAAATCTCGCCTTGGAGTGAAAATCTCGAGGCGAGCCAAGGCGAGTAGAGTCGAGTCGAGCTGGTACTGGTAATGAAAAAGTGTTTCATCAGGTGGAGTGCTCCTCCGAATCAGGGTTTCATTTTATGTAACACCCTACTCAGACAGAAGGTTATTCTTTTCAGAGATATTTAGAGTGATCGGGTTCTTTTATTTTGTGTCTCTCG